TTACATTCAAAATGTTATTAAACTATTTTTGTTTATGTTATGCCAATTAGAATAGCATAAAATCTTAGCTAATAATCCATATTTTAATAGTATACAAGTTTTAAGTTCTTAATTCTACAAGGCAATATTTTAAAAATTCTGAATTTCCACTAGTGTGACCCACGTGACACATTTTGTCTTAGCATGCCATCATCCCTATTTTATTCATCACACATCGAAAATGTGCAAAATTAAATGTAAATTACTCTATTTAAGTTCGTTTTTGCTCAGACAGACCATAATTTTTATAGCCTTGTTTGGTTACAGAGCTATCGAATAGCAAATCAGACCCCTCCTGCCACACCCACCTCTCACATCCTCTCTTTCACAATTCGTTGATAGTTCTCTCTTACTTTTAATTATATATTACCTATAACCAATAGAAAGTCAAGGTTTTCATCTAGCAAATGACATATTGCATAATTGTATTCTCAACAGAATATCGTCAATTTTACTCACAATACAAGATTCGTTCCCGTGGGAAAGTTCACGACTAGCTTGAATGAATTTGTAATGGCTCATGTTGCATAGTTAGAAAGCCGGTAACATTTTGAGAGGTAAGTGGATTTATCTACTTTTTGCATGTTATTAGTCTATATTCTTTGGTGCATTATTTAATTAAATAATAATTATCAAGTGTATTACTATCTGTAGTATGAAAAATTAGTATGAAACCCGACAGCAAGAAAAAAGAAGATTGAGTAAATACTTTATTTCTTGTTTTTTATATTTATTCTATATTTATTATTCTAAAAGTAAATAAAAAATATAGATCTTTTAAAGTTATTTAAGGCTAGATAAGGTAAAATAAGTAATAATAACAATATAATTAAAATGGTTCAAGAGACACGCACACGAGCAGCTCGTGTGTAATGTACTTTGATAGAGTAACGTGAGGTGCACGTTCCTCGAGTGATTTACGACTTATAATAGCGCGGATAGTAGTTAAACACGGTTCAAAGGGCAATAAAACAATAAAATTTTATCATAAATAATTGTATACTGTTATTAACTTAGATCTACTTGGTATAAAAGAATGTAGTTTCATGTTACAGTTTGAAGTCATTTTAGAAAGAAAAAAGGGTAATTTAGGTTTATTTCAATTTTGTGTGGTTACGAGGACGGTCGAATTGACAGATCCAATTTTGAGATATGGTAAGGAAAATAACAGGTAAACTATAGAGTTTTCATTGAGAAAAAAACGTTTTAAATGCATTTAGGAGGTTTTAGGGATTACACAAAGGAAATTTGAGATTTTTGAGATGAGAAAAATTATTTTAACATGAAAATTACTTTGCACAAGGAACTATTCAAACCAAATACTCAACATATTAATGGACAAATCTTTATCTTATTTTATTAAAAATACTTCACTAAAAAATTATTTTTTATGTGAAAGACATATAATAATAAAGTGCTAAATTACTATATTACTATATTGAAATATAGTAATATTCTTATCAGAAGTAATAATAGCAACAAAATTAAAATATTTTGTCAAGAACGTTTTTAATTAATTTTATATAAATATAAATGAAGACTTGTATAAGATGTCCAAACATACTTGTTCGAAATGTTATTTATAGAGTGTAATTTGTTTTAAAAACTAAGCTAGATAGATAGGTATCTAGTGATCTTTAGTCTGAACAGGGTAGAATTAAGTGACATTTTGTACGTGAATTAACAATAATGGTATACTGACAAAATCTGATCCTTTAACTGATTGCTGTATGTTTGGCACAGCTTAATCTTACTGAGTATTGAGCATAAAGTATTTTTGTAGTAAAGTACAATGAACTCAGCAAAATACAGAAATTATACACTAACGCTTTTCGTTTATAATCGATATTAAAATCTTACATGCTGAACTGAATTGAACAAGTAGTAATACGGTCATAACGTACAAATGTTGTATAAAAGCTTACTTAAATGAGGCAATCCAGTATTTTTATAAACTAAAATTTGTGGTGTTTTTGTAAATAGTATATTTGTGGATCTAATTCTTATGCTTCATTGTGTTTTATACTTGAGAAATCAGCATCATGTTTTTCAAATGATGTTTTTCATCCATACAATTGAGAAGCTGAGGGATATTCATCTGAAGAAAATGTATTTGTTTAATCAATTGATTGTAAAAGGTTCTTTTCAGAATCATGACATCCTGAGAAAGAGAAAGCTATGATTGTACATATCTACTGATGAAGAGGTTTTCACTTTTAATATTAACAGTCAACCATTGATTTAAGATCATGATCCCCTATCTAATACTTGAAGTTTTGTGAATAAATGTTTTAGTATGGGTGACAGCAGTCTTATTTAGTGTTTGTGATTTTGCTTACATACATTAATGATAGCATATCTACATAGAGACTTGTATTATATGGTTAAACACATTTGTTAGAAATGTAGATAATCAGTTCATGGAGTCTAATTGAGTAGAAAGTATGTAAGAATTGTACACTTACTCAGATGAACATGTCTGGACAAAACTGGAGAAATAGAATATCATGAATACACGTATAGTGTGTTGTAACATTATGTAAAGTGAAAGAATCGATAAACTATAAAAGTTAAATGTTGTGAGATTTTTTATAGAATATATATTCGACTTGATTATTATATTACAAAAAATGTTGTATCTCTTTTTGTAACGTTATGTGAAAACAATGTTGAATTTATCACGAGTCAGTTACATTATAATATGATTTTCAAATCTCATATATTATTATTATTTCACAATTGTTTGTGTTTAATACATACATTATCAAATCTAATTTTTGATGTTCTTGTTTTATGATTCGATTATTTTTAAGTATTGATTTATTGTATAATTGTTTTATATCACATTTAATGTACAGTGTTTACCATTATACAATTTGCTCCCAGTGGCACAGCGGTATGTCTGCGGACTTACAACACTAGAAACTGAGTTTCCATACCCGTGGTGGGTAGAGCAGAAATAGCCCATTGTGTAGCTTTGTGCTTAACTTCAAACAAAGAATTATAAAATATGTTTTACAACAAAATAATTTATGTTCATTAGACATTAAGAATTAAGTTTAGCCTAACTAGTTGATGAATGGATATTTTTATGTCACTTAACTTTGATCTGTACACTCAGATAAAACGAGAAAATGCAATTTCACTTTATATGATGATACAGTTGCATGGATTTGTGAAACAAAAGTTCAAGGTAATACATACTTCTGACCTTGAAATATAAAAGATAAAAGGTAGTATGTTCTTCAAATTCCAAAGCTTGTTGGTTTGTTTGCAATTAAGCACAAAGCTACACACTGGGCTATCTGTGCTCTGCTCACCACGGGTATCAAAACCCGGTTTCTAGCATTATAATTCCGCAGACATACCGTTGTACCATTGGGGGGCTAAAATTCCAAACCTGCTGTATTGTTGAAGTGGGCTGTGTACTATTTACTAAATGAGATTCGTGGAGTACCATAAAACAGTTCTGACGGAATTCCTGCATTTTTGTGACAAGTAGGTGTCCTTGATGTTCAAGGTTAAGTCCTAGATCAATATCATCTGCCAATTTCAGTTATGTGTACAAAAAGGACATGGTTGAATAAACACAAACTGTCTGTAAATACTTATTGTTTAGCATCTCCTGAACATGCACATAAAACAGTATAGTTTAGTCCAGCACTTGTAAATTTATAGTGTTTTTGACCTTTGGTGACCTTAAAATATAGGTCAAGGTCATTTGGAATTTACCCGTATTTGGTACTTCTATCTTAAAAGATTACCATTACCATTGAGAACACCAAGAAAGCTATACATGACCTTGCACATTTTATGATCTTTAGACAAAGAAAGCCAAACTCATACATGGTTGAAATTACCGAGCACTTGTGTCATTTAAGTGATTATTATATTACTAAATATATGTACATCTGCTTATGTTGTTATAGATTCATTAATGACATGCATCTGAGATAGTAAGCAAAAAATCATATTCCTTAAGCATTTTATCGATCATTTATAGAAACACATATTATCAATTATTTGACAAGTTCAATAATGAAGATGAAGACGGTTGATAAAACATTTTAGTTACAAAGTTCGAACGTTTCGGAATAACTTATTCCATTTTCAGCGAAATCTGAAAATTGTGTTACAAAGATGATTATTACTAAAAGGTCAATAGAGGCACGAGCTAAGGTGGTTCTGTGTTTGTATATGTTTCATATAGTGAAGAGAAACATTGTAGAAAACCTCATGCTTTTGTCACAAAGTGTGCGATTTTGGCTTATCTGCCTCACTATTTAAGATGTAATTAATTTTTTTTCTCTTTGTAACATCTGTGTAGAAAAACGTTCACCACCCACATGTGAGCACTCAGATGAAGAACGAGCTTTTATCTGAACATGAGTGACAGACGACTTAAGAAAGCTCTTTAGTGTGGATATCAAATAATCAAAATTTATAAAGTGTATCATTATTCTATTGAGTCTTCTAAATTCTTCACGGGGTATCTAGGTGCAATCTTTTAAAACGTAAAAAGGAAATTTCAGAATGTCTTGTACAATACAAAGAACCTACTTTAAGCTCTGAAGGATAAAATGCTTGGCGCTTTCTTTTGACATGTGAAGTGTTTGTCTGATGGGCTTTGTACTTTTCTTTGAGTGATAAATATTAGATATTTGCCATTTAAACATGTTGTATACATTTTTCATGAGCTCTTGCTTTCCATATTTTTCGGAATATATTGTTGACTACCTGAGGTACCCTTGTCCTGGACGGAAGTTACCTAAATTCATGATTAATGAAAGGTTATCTTAGGACATGAACAGTTGCTTCCCTTATATGTAATTGAAAACGCCCATAAAAATTGCAAACCGCAAAACAGAAAATTTGTATGGACTGTTACTCGAGAGTATGGTCTTTACTGTTAATTTTCATGAAACCTTAATTGCAATAATGCATCATTTTCTGTGTTCCAGATGGCTGTATGTATCATTTCGACAGCACACAAAGCAAAGTTGGAAACTTCTCATCTCCGAATTTTCCCGCTAAATATCCAGACAATCTCCAATGTAACTACCAGTTTGTCGGCAAACCTTACGAGACATTGCGATTAACGTTCTTTTCCTTTGAACTGGAACAACCATATAAAGACGGGTGAGTGATCATCTAGTTTAAAATTGCATATAAAAACATAAGTTATTAAAGGAGATGCTTACAAGACAGATAACTAATGAAAGTTATTGCAAGATAAGCTCAGAATCAGCTAAGAAGAGTAAGCTATCCCAGAAAAACTTTCAAAATAGATAACTAATGTACGTTATCACAGGAAAAGCTTAGAAAGCAGATAACATATTAACATTATTTCAGGATTAGCTCAGATAGCTTACAAAATAAATAAGAAATGAAAGTTATTGCAGGATAAGCTCAAAGGATAGGTAAAAAGAGCAAGTTATTACAGAGGAAAAGCTTAGAAAATAGATATCAAATGAAAGCTACTATAGAATATGCTCGGAATCAGATAACAAGAGTAATTTATCACAGGACAAATTACTAGTTAACTATACTCTTCTTATGTTTTCACTTATGAAGGTTGGTTACCCTCGCTGTTAATCCCAATAGCATGTCATGAGATTCAGCCAGCTTAGGAAATTTATGTTAGTCCTAAATAGATTTATTTGACTAATAATGCAAAACAATCAATATAATAGAAGTATAATAATAATAAATATAACTATAAACTATAACATTAGATATATTTTAACAATCTCGTGAATAATGTTAAAGAAAGTAACAGTAAAGAAATAATATAGTATGTCTGACTTAGGAAACTATCTGTTGACTTGAATTACTGTCATGGAATTAATTTTCATTTGAATTCTCCTCAAATATCCCTAACATGTTTTTTGACCAATGAAAAACTCTGCAGTAAAAGGTTAGAAGAGCGTGCATCTGTGTCAAATTTACTACGATACATTTGATGACGAGGAACCCACTTTGAGACAAATAATGCTTGAATGGGTAATCATAAAACCTTGTCGAAACGTTGTGTTGCTCGTTTAGAATTTCGCGCAAAGCTACACGAGGGCTATCTGCGCTAGCCGTCCCTAATTTAGCAGTGTAAGACTAGGGGGAAGGCAGCTAGTCATCACCACCCACCACCAACTCTTGGACTACTCTTTGACCAACGGATAGTGTGAATGCCTGTCACATTATAACGCCCCTACGGCGTGAAGAGGATTCGAACCCGCGACCCTCAGATTGCGAGTCGAGCGCCCTAACCACCTGGCCATAACGGGCCCCGAAACGTTGTACATTTGCTGTTATGTTAAAGTTAGATTAAAGATTTTTTTTTCATTACCCGTTCAAGCCGTCTCCAAGTATTATTACTACGATACATGCTGTGATTTAGACTGTGTCAACTCAGGAAGCGGTATAAAAAGTTATCCTGATCGTTCAGACACAGGTACTGATTGACTAACTTAGGGGGAGGGGAGAGATGATGAAGTGGAATCAGATGGCGCGTTTATAGGGGCATATTTCTAGGCCACCATGACAGGCAGATGTTATCATGCTACCATGACACTTAACAACGGAAGTTGTCTGCTGTCAGAGAACAGGTTGCTAGATGTGACATTATAGTTTGAGTGTTACTCAACAGAGAGCTTCTTGTTAGCGCCACGAAGTGGCACCAGAGGGCGCGTTAGTATAATATGCGAATCACCAGAGGGCAATGTAGATCAACATGACATTAACATTATAGTAACAATCAAAGTCTTAAAATTAATATTTTATCTAATTTGCATAATGTTATGTTTACAATTGGCAGTACTGAAACGTTTTTATCGAATTTGCAGTTTTGCTATATCAATAAAACATTTAATCTGTAATCTAATAATATCAACTTTACAGTTTTCACTTAAATATTGCGTATGTAGACTGTGTTTCTACAGGCAGATAGTTCAATAAGATGATGAGCTCATTGTAGTGTGTCTCAACGTGTAATTACACCATCAATGTCTAGGTTTAATTATGAATATTTTAAAAATGTAATTTTATTATCAGTAATTTGGCTGAGAATAATAATAAAAATGATTTGACAAGATTTTTCACTTTATTGTATTATTCGATTATAAATGTATATGTGTTATAAAGGTGGATGATGTTACTATACTTCGTTAGAATTACACACAATTTTAACATATCTCAACTTGTGTTTATAGTTTCCATTTATATATTTAACTGTGTTAAATGTTAGTGATAGCATTACAAACACATTTTACGTGCTGCTGAAACGATTTTATCACATGTAATATATAATTTTCATAAATATTGAACAAAACAGTTTGTATAGCCGATTGCATTTTTAAATATTGGATTAGTATACATTTAATGTACTGATTATAGTTTTCGCTTCTATATCTAATTTGTATGACATACGTTTTGCATTCTTTGCAGCTTTTTAAGTAAAATATTTATCGCTAATTCATTTGTTCTACAGTTTTCATTTCTATAACTACTATATTATCATAAACCAAGGTAGTGGTTCATAATGAGAATCGCCCATTTGTTCTTCTTTTATATTTATTATTACTGTTGTTCCACTAGCGAGTATTACAATCAGACCTGGACAATATTGCTAAATGGATCATTTTGCATTGCTCTATTTCTGCAGTTATTTCTGTATTTTTCATAAGCTAAAATATCATAATTCTATTGTAAACGATGTTATCATTACCCCTTGAAATTTGTTTTCTCACAAATATCTGATGTTCCTTTAAGAAGCTTAAGAACAGGGTGAAACAGGAATTACCAGCCAGTAATAAATAAACATTAGATGACTGTAACATGTAGATACTCAATGCTTTGTACACTATACAGTTGGTGTCTTTAGGGAGCCAGTAATAATGAAGTGAAAGAGTTAAAAGAAAAAACAATACACATAACATTAAATTTTAATACACACATTCATAGAATAATGACTTTAAAATGCATGAACATTTACTTGAAGTGATATTTTAGACGTATGTGTTTTATTTGAAAAGGCTGCTTTTCTACTGGTAAAATTTTATACAAGCTTAGTAGGGATTGTGTCTTGGTCTAGGTATATATATATTTGTCCATTGCTATGCATTATATATAGAGAGAGTTTGTTTGTTTGTAATTAAGCACAAAGCTACACAATGGGTTACTTGTGCTCTGCACACCACAGGTTGCGAAACCCGGATTCTAGCGTTGTAAGTCCGCAGACATACCGCTGTGCTACTAGGGGCATATATATAGAGAGATAATTTAGTTACACAGAAACTATAAATTCTCCATGACAAACACCAGCTGCAGCTTAGATTTTTACGTCTTGAACTACTGTGATCAAATAGTCAATAACTAAAGTAAATCATCATGAATTGGATCAGCTGGTATCCACAATAGATATCTATAAGCCGTAGTATAAAAGGAAGAATCAAGCTCAGTTTCGAGCATCGGATCAGTGATTGCCGATCTTAAGTGTCGAATTATATCCCACACCGCTTTATTGCGAATAACCATTGTTGAAGCTGACTATAAGGAGTGGCAAAAGTGAAGCAGAAAATCTGTACCTATACATTTTATTTCCCTTAATGAACTTAAACTTTATCGATTTCCATAAAGCCTTTGATAGTGTCTATCGAGAAACGTTGTGGAAAATTTTGGGACTATATGGTGTACCAGAAAAATTTATAAACATATTCAAAAGTCTTTATGAAAACTCCAGTAGTTGTGTAAAAACTAACATTGGGACCACGGAGTACTTTAATGTATACAGTGGAGTGAGACAAGGTTGTGTGTTATCTCCCTTTTTCTTTCTTTTGGTGGTAGATTTTGTCATGAAAAAAGCGATGAATGTTGGTGATGGGATAATGTGGCGTGATGGAACTTTAACTGATTTGGACTTTGTGGATGATATCGCTTTAATTGGGAAAGATAAGACAGAACATCCAAGATATGACAAGGAAT